GTTGCATACATTATGGAAAAAAATGAGTATACCCCTCGCCCCCGCCCCCCATCCTTCAGTGGTGGTTAGAGCGGGCTTCTGCTCTGACCAATTTGGTCCATTTTCAATACCAACTCGCATGCAGTGGTGGGCAGATACATGCTTTAGTGGACGCTAATTTGTCTATTACTGCTAGCAGTGTAAATAATTTTAGTTAAGAAGTTGGTAAGAAATGGAATTTTGCTATTATTTTAATTGTATTTTTTTTGTATATTTTTTTTGTATTACATTCACAAATATCCCTAACACTACTAATTCACACACTAAGACGCTAAGGTGCACGAAAACGCAAAACATAACCGCAATAGGAAATGTTTATTCTTATAATGAAAACATAATGTATTCAAGTGAGATTGTAAATTGGAGGGCATTAGTATTTAAATATTATTATTTCAAAATTACTTTATGTTATGCACATTTTATTTGAAAATAAATCTTAAATGATTAATTTGAATATAATTCGTACAATTATTTCAAATCTCCTTTAATTTGTTAACATGATTTTGATTTCTCTATATGTAAATTGCGGGGCAAACAGATGAAAAGATACCCTACTATTCCATTAAGTTTTAAATATTTGTTATCCTTTTATTTAAATATTAGTCGTGAATTTTTCTTTACTCATAGCATTTCAAACAGAATATATTCTTAGATGCAAAAGACATTGTGTGGATATATGCTTTGTTTGATCTGTGAAATATTTTTCAATGTTTATGTGAAATCTTGTGTTTTTTTTTTTTCTTTTGTTATTAAAACTCCTATCTATTATAGATGTGTACGGAAGTGTTATTTATGGTATGTGCATGTGCATGAATATAAAAGAAATCATTATTCGGATATATGTGGTATGAATTTTAGAGGATATTTTAATTAGAAGGACACGTCGCGTTGTTCTATCCGCCTCCGGGAACCCATTTGTATATTTGCAAAATAGCTGAAAAGCCAAAGAGAAAAGAAAATCTAATTTTAATATTATTATTATTCTAAATATTCCAAGATGCAAATATGCGGAACAAACATCTTCGTACAATTTTTAACTGGAGCCACGCAATTGCAGTTGAGATAGAAAGTCAGCGGTAAGCTGCGACACAGCGAGGAATGTCTCCTTAGTCTGGGCTTAAGATTTAGCCTCCTAAGTCCATAAAGACCTTCCTTTAAGTGCTACGTTTTCATTTTGGTCTTGTTTCGCAATTAACCATAAATCGTTATCCTTATAAGTACTTTTGCAAAGTCTATTACAAAGCTTTCCGGGTAAACGGTAAATAATTTGGGGCGAAAATTCAACGATGTCGGTAAATTTAGCAGCATTATGCTGCCGACATCTGTAACACAGTGCTTACGAAGGTTATGATTACTTTGCAACCATTGTTCCTATGTGAATTATATATAAGGGATCTATGTAAAAAAAATTGAACGATTAACGCACATATGATTATATATTTCACAATAGGTTTCAGTCTACATTTTTTACAAATATTTGTCCTCGGTGGACAAGGTTATCAATACTGTTATATATTGAGTGATGCGGTTTCTTAACCAGAAAGATGAAGAAGAAAAAAGTATTGCACGCAATTAGGTTGTGAATACAGGATCGCTCTAATGGGCGACACGGTTCTGCTCACGAGCTCGACGAACACAATTTTCGATCATTTTCTTCATTATTGTTATTCATTGCGTACGCCAGCTGTATCACGAATTAGAAGATACCATTCTTCACCAGTTTAAGATATTTATGAATGCCACCACCTCCTCAATGCCGTGTCCGGCGTCACAAAACGACCGCCACACCCACGGTGTCTGATTTGCATAGAATATGATGGGACGTCTCACTCGTCCCTTGGCAGAATCTGCCTGAATCGGTTTCGAACATAACCATGGTTTTCAGATGGTACCTGAGGGAATTATGATTCGTGTAGAAGACAGTGACTAAACGTAGATCACTTCTTCTTAGTTCCCCTAGTTTATGTGCCATACCGGAAGATGATTTATGAATCTTTTTGCCTGTCATTGTCCTGTACATTGCTTCCAATGGCATTCCGATTTTTCCGGTGTGGTACCAACTTTTCAGTATGGCTTCGTCGTACGCCGCTAAAAGGTTTAGGACCTATCATGCTCCCTCGGACTTCCCTGTTGACTGCACAGTCAACCCTTTCGTTTCTCTCGAGGCCCGAATGGCCAGGCACTCATATTAGATACACACCATTGTACCTGCCTAGCTCATTGAGTTTGAAGTCCTACATCTTGTCATTCATCCCTTTAGGGACTTCAAGGTGGCTTGACTATCGGAGCAAATGGAAATCCGCTCTTCTCAGCACTACTTTCTTAAGCAGTCAGGCGCGCATGCGGCGATTGCCTAGACTTCTGTTTGGAATAATTTTCTTCACTAAGTCTTGCCTGAAATTATCAATAGCATTGACTTTAATATTCTTTTCTAATTTATGAAAAGCATGTACATGCCTTACTGTAGACCAATTATATTCCTTTGGGATCCATTCCACACCAGAAATTTGATTTACACAAATGTCTCCCACTTCGAGTCATAAAAAAATCGTTACCATGGCTTACCATGACCAATTTAGCCCTTTTTTAATACACCAGCACGTGCAAAAACTTCCAATGATTCTACGAAATCTGAAGTCACAGACACACAGAAGAGCAGACATGGCTTAATCAATTCGGAATTTCACGCTGATCAAGAATACATATACTTTATAGGGTCTCTGAAGGGGCCTTTTGGGAAAAAAAGGAAAATGAGTATACCATCGTCCTTGAGTGGTGGGTATAAAAATTATCGGAAGAGATGACCTTTTTAAAAAAGTGCACAAACGGTTATTCCGATAAAAAATTAGAATAATTTGGGAGTTCCTCAAATCTTACTGACCATAACTAACAAACTCGCAATGATTTTGACATGACCGTAAGAGGAAATCGTATAACCTGTACTAGCTGTAGCTTTTAAAAGCTTTCTGGTGATGGTATATCAATAAAAGAAAAAAAAGTCCATTGGAGTTCAGTGGAAATTCGTCCATTCATGGGAATATAGAGATTTTTCTTAATATTTACTTGGGTTCTATGTAATTTTGTAAAATTATACGATGGACTGAAGGACATAATAATTATATTGTCTAAGTAAAGCTTAAGCTATTTTTAAATGAATGATATAAAAGGCATTGCTTTTCACCTATATATATATATTTATATGCATGTGCGTGCACGGAAATGCAACTACTCTTGTTACTCCTTTGAAGCATGCTCGGCATCTCGATTTATGCACTTGACTTAAATACACTTCACTCTTTATTATACTTATTTCCTCCTCTTTTGTTTTGCACACACCCCTATGAAAATTTTCATAACATATTCGAAAAGGCAAAAAAAAAAAAAAAAAAACATCGAAATATTTCTGGAAACTTAAGTAAATTTTTACTGAACGCGTTTTTCAAATTAAACATAATTTGCTTAAACGAATAAAATAATTAATTATCGAATAAGAAAAATTTTAAAATTGAAAAATTTTTCAATACGAAAGGAGTATCTTTAGCTCCATAGCGCGGATTATTTTGCTTTGGTTTTATTCTCTTCTCCTTTACTCTAACATTCTTTTTCTCGCTGTCAACCATACATTCCTCACAATATAAAAAGCACTGTATCTTACAAATTAATCAAAAAAAAAAAAATCTTTTTGAAAACTAAACTGATTTCGAATCTTTTAATTGCTTAAATATTCAATGGAAATACTGAGTAATAATGATATACAACTTTTTAATATCCTTCGTTTTTTTCATCAGTGCTGCAGCACACAAAACCAAATAAAAACAAAATATATAAACCGCGTCAGTGTACACATAGCAATCATCATTTTTTACATTAAAATATATACGCGCACATACACAAACACACACACACACACACACAAATACACACATGAACGTAGAGTTTTAAAGTTTTCATGTTTTCATAATATTTACTCAGTCTAAATAAAACAATCTAGAGTTTATTAAAAA